CTCAGAGGGGCCTGGAGCACCACTGAGAAATCGTTACTTCTCCTTTCCCCAACCTGCGCACACCTGACTCCAGAGCTGCGTATTCTTACTTTCTATTAAAAGCAAGGTCTGTTTCTTATTCTTCCCTTGAGCACACAAGCTAACACCTCTTAGGTGCTGGTAAATGTCTATCAGAACAACAAACAAAAAAGTGGGAGGTGGCTCCATTTAATTTTCCAACCTTCCTGGACTAGGTGCCAAACAAACGTGGTTTAAAAACCTCCCACCCAGCAAATTTCACCTTCTCCCAACCAAAACACGCTTCAAGCACCACCTGCGCACCTCCTGGGCTCAGGGAGGCAAGGATGAAAGGGACAAGGTAAACAATCCTGCCTCTGGGGAGCTTTCAAGTTAGAACCTGAAAATAAGCCATAGAAACAGATGACAAGCCTTTGAAAGTTGTTGTGAGGATTAAATGCATAATTTTGCAGAAGGCGTTTTGTTCGGGGCCTACCACGTGGAAAGCGCTCGCCAGACGACAGCTGCAACTATTAATACAAATAAACAACTGTGCACCCAAATAGCGTTAAGGGCCCCGCGAATTCCTAACTCCCTATTTCAACTTACCCCTTTGCTTCTTTCCCTGACTACCCCCACACCCGACCGAACCCCACCAGAGGCTGAGGCTCCTCTCGGGCACCGTCAGCTGCACCTTGCGCCCCAGCCCCACCAGCCCTGAGCAAGGCGTCGGCGTTTCCAAGAACCAAGGGCTGCAGGCGCACGAGGAAGACGCGGAGCAGTCAGTGAGCGGGCGCGCTCGGAAGCCTGGCTCCCCGTCCCGGCACTGTCTCGGCCGGCTGTGCGACCCCACCACAGTACCCGACCCCTTTCCGCTCTCGCCCTGGAGGGCTTATCGAAGAGCGAGATTTCCTCTCGCAGCAAAACACCAAACTCGGAAGGGGTCGCGCGTTCTTCGCCCAGGGCCCTTACCTTTCTTGGCCCCATGCGCTCGCCGTTACCTCGGCAACGCCGGCCGTGGGGCGGACACCGCTGCCATCAAGCAGTGCGGCCGCAAAGCCAGCCTAGTGCGCAGCCGCAGAGCGCCTGTCGGGACTTGGTGGAGTGCGCCTGCGCGTGGCCGGCTGGCGGGTGTTCTGTGCGCCAGCTCTGCCACTGCGGAGTATGAGGCGGAGGCTGGGTGTGCTCTTCGCTGCTTTCTGCAGGATTGTACGGATACCAGAACGGTCCTGCAAGACCCATTTTACAGATGAGATGAAGTTACCCGTCAGATGTCACATAGTCACGTGGGAGGTGGGAGAGACCTAGAGTCTTCGGCTCTCGGAGGATGGGATATTTGAGGCGACCGGCAGGACTTTATAATTGGCCCTGAGGAAACTGATCTCATCTTTCTCAATGTAGAAAGAGGATCACAGTAGCGCACCTGTATACGCTGCAGCATGCGGAGAACTTGCAAAGACCTTTCCTCTGGCAGACACCTGGCCAGAAGCCTGTGTGTGCCCAGACTGCCTGTGCAGTTAAAGGGACAACAGGTGGCAGGTCCACCTGCTCTGCATCCCCATTTTCCCCTTCACTGACTGTGTGAGCCTGAATGACTGACAACCTTTCTGAGCTTAAGTTTGCTGAAAAATAGGCCATCAGAATTATGGGAGATGAGCAAAACTAGAGTGCAATAGGAAGTGTAAATTTCTCCTGCCCTGGTTATTTTAAAGGAGGCCTATGGGGAGTCCAATATATACCTTCCCAAATATGAATCACAGGAGTTCCACCTCACAGACTAGGCAGGAGGCAAAGAAGGGTTGCAAGGATGAGCGGCAAATACTGCTGGAGAGATTCATGGTGCTAGATGTGATGATGGATGTTGAATTTTGGACCTTTGCCAATGTTCTTGCCTCCATTCCTTCATGCATGCTGTTGCCTCTATGTTCCCTCCCTTCTGTTAGCTGCAGTAATTCCTGGTCAGCCTTTAGGTCTCAGCTCAGATATCACCTCTTCCAGGAGACATCTTGCCTCCCCAGGCGTGCTTGGGTGACTTGCCTCTGTGTTCTGCAGTAGCCTGGCATGGCCTGTGTTGTCCCTGTTTTTCTGGCCCTTTTTATTTTTTGAGATGGAGCCTGGCTCTGTCGCCCAGGCTGGATGGCAGTGGCACCATCTCAGCTCACTTAGCTCACTGCAACCTCTGCCTCCCAGGTTCAAGTGATTCTCCTGCCTCAGCCTCCTGAGTAGCTGGGATTACAGGCACCTGCCACCACGCCCAGCTGATTGTTATGTTCTTAGTAGAGACGGGGTTTCACCACGTTGGCCAGGCTGGTCTCAAACTCCTGACCTCAAGCGATCCTCCCGCCTCAGCCTCCCAAAGTGCTGGGATTACAGGTGTGAGCCACTGCATCCCGCCTGGCCCTTTTTGAACTGCACTGTGGCCTTGCTCTTGGTAGAGTGAGATCATGTCACAGCATTCAGTGGCTCCTCTGCTGCCAGGACCTTAACTGCTAGGCTAGGGAGTTCAGGCTTTAGATAAACCAAAATCAAAGAGCTTTGTGGTAAGAATGTTGCAAAAGAAAGGGAGAAAATTGGCAAGAGTCACAGGATGTGGTAACAGGATGGATTGGGCAGAGGAGCAACAGCTGAAGAGAGGCTGTAATATCCAACCAGAACATGCCAATTTAAGAAATACTGGTGTTAGAATTAGAGGGCTTTAACAATGAAAGGGATTCAGAGGTTGTCCAGTTAAACTTCCTTATTTAACTGATTAAAAAACAGGTCCAGTGGCACTGTGAGTTGTCAGAGATAACCAAGCAGGTCTCCTAGAGCCAGGTCTCTTAAATCCCATCCCAGCCCGTGGAAGGATTGGGGTTTGGGATCTCAAATTTCCCTCCCAAAAACATTAAAAAAAAAAAAAATTAAAAAAAGAAAAAAATTCTGGAAATTTCTAAAAAGAAAGAAATAGTTCCCCGAGATTTTCTCGAGTGCATTTTAAACCCTTTGATATGGTTATTTTCAAACATACAACACAAAAGTAGAGAGAAAATAGTCCAATAAATCATCACTTCCAGCTGGGCACGGTGGCTCACGCCTGTAATCCCAGCACTTTGGGAGGCTGAGGCAGGTGGATCATCTGAGGTTGGGAGTTTGAGACCAGCTGGACCAACATGGAGAAACCCTGTCTCTACTAAAAATACAAAATTAGCTGGATGTGATGGCGCATGCCTGTAATCCCAGCTACTCTAGAGGCTGAGGCAAGATAATTGCTTGAACATGGGAGGTGGAGGTTGTGGTGAGCCGAGATTGCGCCATTGCCCTCCAGCCTAGGCAACAAGAGTGAAACTCCATCAGAAAAAAATAAAATAAAATAAAATATCACTTCCACAACCTTCAACCTTTGGTATCTCATTTCTTTTGCATTCTCCATATACACACTTTTATCTCCTTGCTGGAGTATTTTAAAACAATCCCAGACATTATATAACTTCATCCATGATATTTCAGTAGATATCTCTAATAGATAAGGACTTAATTTTATTACAATACATCTGCATCTACATTTTATATATATATACACACACACACTTATATCAACTGTGTAGTTCATTCTCATTATTTGAGGTAATTCTGTTCTATAAAGTTGTCACAAACACTGAAGTAGAAAATACTGAACTATGGGGCCAAGCGTGGTGGCTCACACCTGTAATCCCAGCACTTTGGGAGGCCGAGGTGGGCGGATCACGAGGTCAGGAGATCGAGACCATCCTGGCTAACATGGTGAAACCCCATCTCTACTAAAAATACAAAAAATTAGCCGGGCGAGGTGGCGGGCGCCTGTGGTTCCAGCTACTCGGGAGGCTGAGGCAGGAGAATGGCGTGAACGCAGGAGGCGGAGCTTGCAGTGAGCCGAGATCGTGCCACTGCACTCCAGCCTGGGTGAGAGCAAGACTCCGTCTCAAAAAAAAAAAAAAAAAAAAAAGAAAATACTGAACTATGTTTCCAGGAGAAATACAAGGTTAGGTGTCTGTGAGTCTCTGGTCGCAACATTTTCATCAACTGGTCAATACATAACCTCACTTCATGTGTTTCTGTTTAAAGACACCTTATCTAATTTGTTGATTCATCAACATTGAACTTGCAGCCAACAGCACTATAACTCCTGCCTAAAGGAGGCTTATCTAACACACCTATTTTCTCCAATAAGGCACATTTCTTGGGTGGGGAACACCAGACAGCACTTCGGCACTCCACTTGGGGCCATTTTAAACAGTTAAATCACCAACAGAAAGCACAAAATGTGAAAAACATGGCACAAACTAGAGCTCAAAAAAGCATACTTATTTATGGTATGAGAGATGAAACAAGAAGGCAGAGTCTCCTTGTTCAACTTCAGCTGGGAATGTGCTCACTGAGTGACTCAAATGTTTTGGTGTTCTGTGCATGCATGTATCTGCAAATGACTGTGACTGTGACTGTGATGTTACAAATAAGTTTTAGCAACTAGGTGAGTTTGTAAATACAGAATCCAAGGGAGGATGGACTATATCAACATACCCCAGTATCACTAGCACATCTAATACAATGAACAGTTATCGGTGAAATGTGCCACAGAACCCCCAAGTAATATGTGGGATATACTTTAGAAAAAAGTTATCTGAAATTCAAGTTAATCTGGGTGTCTTATATTTTATCTGGCCACCCTAGTGACAATTTATTGGGCATTTACTATGTGCCAGCCACTTTTGCATCCATGATCTTATTTAATTCTCATAACAGGGCTGTGAGATTGACGTTCTTACCTCTGGTCTGCAGCCAAAGTTACTGCACATGCCCGTGGTGTCACTGCTAGGAAGTAGTGAAGGCCAGATGAGGATATGGATCTGTGGGGCTTATGCTCTTTTAATCTGTCATGCTGGATACAGGAGGGCAGTGCATTAACAAAACATGATAGGCCGGGTGCGGTGGCTCACACCTGTAATCCCAGAACTTTGAGAGGCTGAGGTGGGTGGATCACCTGAGGTTAGGAGTTCAAGACCAGCCTGGCCAACATGGCAAAACCCCGTTTCTACTAAAAAAAAAAAATATGAAAAGTATCTGGGCGTGGTGACTCACACCTGTAATCCCAGCTATTCGGGAAGCTGAGACAGGAGAATCACTTGAACCTAGGAGGCAGAGGATGCGGTGAGCGGAGACTGCACCACTACACTCCAGCCTGGGAGACAGAGTGACACTGTCTCAAAAACAAAACAAAACAAAAAACCAAAGAAACAAAACAAACAAAAACACACAACATTCAATACTGAAATATAAAAAATAACCAACAGTGTCAGTGGGAGGTCAAGGAAGACCAGGATGGGTTTAAGAGCCTGGGAGGCTTCCAGGAAGAGGTGGCATATAAGCTGCCCCTGGAAGGGAGGTTAGCCTTAGGAGGAGGAGAGGAGGAGGGCAGGTGGCTGTCTAGGGCACAGGGCAGGCCCACGTGCAAGGCTGGAATGGGCCTTGGTTCCAGAGCCTGGGAGGAGCTGGGCCTGGCCGGGGGCAGGAGGTCGGAGCTGTGATAAGGTCTGATAGGTAGGGTGGGGACCGATTGTGGAGGCGCTTAAATTCCAGGCTTGGCTTTTGGACTTTACCCTGCAGACAATGGGGAGCCACTAGTGTTTCTGAGCAGGGCAGGGCCTGTCTCTTATACACATCTCCACTAGTGTTTCTGAGCAGGGCAGGGCAGCCCCAGCTGTCGCCCCATTGTTTTTCTGAAACAGCATCGAATCCTGTCGTTTTTCACAGTGTCCACCAGATGGAGACATTTCAGCAAATTTAAACCACCTAGTGTCTGGCGGACACTGCTTCACCGAGGTGAAAACAAATACAGAGACCCCACTAAGCTCCAACTTTTTACTCAGCATCCTCAACGGACAATGAAACAAAAATCAAATCAGAGACATAGTCCAGCTTCACTCTGCTGGTGAGAGAAAACCTCCGCTAATTTCACCATGTTGAAAGAGAGATTGAGCCTCTCAGCAGTTCTTTGAGGTCACTGATACTATCCCATT